TCCATGGAGGCAGGTGCTGGAACTTCACGAGAAAAGTTACATGATGCATCTTTAAAAGCCGCGCAACAGACGGATTATTTGTTTGAGTGCAGAAAGAGCCGCTGTCTGTGCCGCGACAATTCGATAGATGAAGTCAAAGCACTAAAACAATAAGTTACGACGCTAAATCGCGGGTCTCCAACCTTTTTCATTCCGTTAGCTCCTTTACGAAACAAAAACACCTTTTTTGAGAGCCACTTATTTCAGCAGTCGCAAAGAAACTGAGTAAACGTAAGAGTCGCAGCGAGCGTTCGATGGGGAACAGTTAGATGAGTGAGACCCTGTTTACCCGGGACAGTCTCAGCAGATTTATCCAAAACCAATTCAAATATCCAAAGATTTGTCCCAGTTTTTTTTTTTTTTTTTTTTTTTTTACAAGAAATGTCCCTGGTGTCTCTGTTTTTGACCAACTTGATCCCTGCCAACAGTAAAAAGAGACATAAACTGTCATTGGTTTCGGCAAAACACAGAAAAGCTGCTTAAAACTGACCAAAACACAACGAAATTTTTACTATACTGACTCACTAAGTGCAGAACAGTTTTCCCTAATTACGCACTAGGTTCACAGTTTTATTGTTACCAACCACCACAAACCGAGACTGTCCCAGTTTTTGATTTTGAAATTCTGGTCACCCTAAGTTAGATGCTTGTAAAACATAAACCATTATCCATTTATCAGTGTAAAATGATACATGCACAATGGTAATTAATCAAATTTTACTTTTATCCACAATACATAGAATTCAGAAATCCCTCAGCGAGCGACTTGGAAGGAGGTGGAGCTGCTGGGAGCTGAACATTAGTGAGTGGGATACGTTTTAATAACCTGCAGTACATCTATCTATTAATGCAAGGAACGTCTGTGTTTGTTTGTGTCTCCTCCTGACTGATCTCAAATTCAGAGAGTGCTGTCCTAACGGTACGATTTTTCTGGCAGATATTGTGATTTTGACTTCATTGACGATTTTTTATTTAATTTTTTTAGTGCACAGGAACATCTCCAAACACCACAGAAACTTAAATCACACACCGTCCTGCACCGACGATTTGACGCTGGAACCGCTCGTGCACATTTGTTTACGTTTTACTGAAGCGAAACTTAAAACCACATGACTCATTTGCATAAACTATAAGCTCTGAAAAAAACAGCTCTTTCCTTGTGCGCTGATGCGGTTCAGCTTCTGTCGGACTAAAGGTGTGTTCTTTCCGCTGACGGTGAGTCTGTTCTGTGCGTCTATCGCGTTGGAGATGGTTTAGGTTAAACTTTACACGAACGGCAGGTTTAAAGACCTCGACGCAAATCTGTAAATCAAAAACGATGGCGACAAAGCGACGGCGGAACTAAACTTCGCCCTTAGAATTGGGCTTTAGGAGAACTGCAAAAAAAAATGCAGCTTTGACGCTCCCAAAATCGTACGGTCTGGGATTTTCGGTCCACAGATCGTTTTTTTACGCTGGCTACTCTTGGAATCCGTGAGTTAAATGCGGGTGAGTGCGTAAAAGACGAGAAGAAACATCTCAAACTTCAGTAGCCGGACATCCGCTCTGATACCTGATCCATACACCTATCCCCGCCCCCGAGAGAGTCTGAAATCTGATGAAATCCTACGAAACACTGACATGATTCAGACAGAACGGCGGCTCTTTCTGCAGGAGATACGTTTAGTCCGATAATCCGTCTATAAACCGCCGATACAACCAGTAATCCCCAAACATGTCCAACTTTACATTCAAAATTCAACTCACAATTCAATATTTGAGCTCATCTGACATTAATTTTAAAAAATCATTTTAAAACTCCCACAATTCACCCCGTAGACCTTTACTTTTAACTCGTAGCGTGTAAAATCTTTGGTTGAAATCCTCGTTCGGTCCCGGTTTACGTTTATTCCGCCGGACCGTCCACTTTTCTTACGCTGTCGAGAATATTGCTGCATGAAATATATGCCTTAGTGGACCGTAAAACACAACGTAAAAAAAAACGACATTTAAACAAAACCAAAGCAAATTCATAATAATAATAATAATAACATTAATAATAATAATAATAATAGAATAAAATTATAACTACCAAAAGGATACAAAATGGCTTCCACCCTTTTTTTCAGACAGTTGCAGAGATCCGAGGACGTGACTCTTTCTGTACACACGTTTAGTTACAGCCCAGAAATTCACTTCAAAATAAAATAAATACATTTACACAAAACAGAAAGCAATAAATAACTTCATTGACAAAAACCAAAGTAGTGAGACGTGGTGACGCTGTGAGTTCAGATACAGATGGAGAAACTAAAACGACGATAACTTTAAGAATATGATGATACGGAACTTTTAAAACACGTCTAGTAAAGTCTGGGTAACTTTTTCGGTCAGGGTCGTCATGGTTTTGTCTGGAATATTCCGTGGTGCAGCATTAAACGAATCCATCCATACGTTTATTCAATTGCTGGGGATTCTTGTCGATAAAAATAAACCTTCAAACGTTCATTTGGACTGTGTGTGTGGTTGAAAAAAAATAATTTAAATATAAATATAAAAGAGCTACAACTTAAATGTGAAACCGGAGCTACTGGCAGCGGTGAAAATAAACTGCAAAGGCTCATGAAATCTGCAGGACTGTTTTATAGAGACTTGAACCAGGACTGAACCAGGACTGAGTGTTGGGACGGGCCCGGAGGTTCGCCCGCGTAGACCGTCAGGTGACCGCGGGTGAAAGGACCGGCGCAGAGCTCAACACCTCACAGTTTTAGTCCTGGTTTAGTCCTGGTTTAGACCTGGTTTAGACCTGGTTTAGACCTGGTTCAGACCTGGTTTAGTAATGATTTAGTCCTGATTTTTGTCCTGGTTCAGTCATTATTCTGTGATAAGTCAGGACCAAATCAGGACCAAGACCAAGTCAGGACCAAGTCAGGACCAAGTCAGGACCAAGTCAGGACCAAATCAGACCAAGTCAGGACCAAGTCAGACCAAGTCAGAACCAAGTCAGGACCAAAGCAAGACCAAGTCAAGAGCAAATCAAGAGCAAGTCAGGACCAGATCAAGACCAAGTCAGGACCAAGTCGGGACCAAATTGGGCCCAACATCCGACCGAACTCACAGCATCACCAGTGTATTTTAGTATAACGATTAGGGATGGTACAAGATCTCGTTCCACAAGATCTCGCGGGGAAAAGATCGGGATTGGGAATTGGATTGGACCAAAACAGTTCCAAAAAGCAGTAGTAGAACCAAAACAAAAATATGAACTCAAATACAAAATTCTAAGGCCAAAATTGTAAACTGTATCGTGAAATTTATAGATTAGGAATTACATTGTGGTCCCAATCTGTGGAAAATTGTCTCGTCCCATCCCTAAAAACGACCCGAAGAGGGAAATTCCAAGTATTCCCAAAAGCAAACTCAAACAAAGAGAACTCCCAGCCCATCCAAGCTATTTGACGCTGCTTTACACAATATTATTAGATAGAGATTAAATAATATCATTTGATCATGTGAAATTCTTAGTTTTAATACAATACAATAAATTAAAAACATGAAAAAGGCGGTAAAATACTGTGACAGAGGAATCGTAAAGTGGTCATTTCAAAAGGCACTCGTCGTGATAGGTTCAGTGTGTGTTTGAGGCTTGTATTTCTAAAATCATAAAAAATATCGTACAAAACTATTTCTATATTAAAAGGTTGAAACATACGACAGGATTTTTCGGTTTTAAACAAAAAAAATGTGACTATACTGACTCATATGTTCGTTATGAATAAGCAGAGTGCGAAAATGTATGCACTCGTTTCACAATTTTATTATTTCGAACCAGTTTTTGAATTTGAAAATATTGTACAAAACGTTTTCAGTATTGAAAGGCTGAAATAAACGAGAGGATTTTTCGGTCTTGAACAAAAAAAAATTGACTATACTGACACATGTTCGTCATGAATGCGCCGAGTGCGACAATTTACGCACTCGTTTCACAATTTTATTATTTCAAACCAGTTTTTTGAATTTGAAAATATTGTACAAAGCTTTTTCAGTATTGAAAGGCTGCAAACGACGTAATTTTTCGATTTTAAAGGAAAAAAAAAAAAGATTATACTGACTCACGTGTTCGTTATGAATAAGCAGAGTGCGAAAATTTACGCACTCGTTTCACAATTTTACTATTTCCAACCAGTTTTTTAATTTGAAAATATTGTACAAAACGTTTTCAGTATTGAAAGGCTGAAATAAACGAGAGGATTTTTCGGTCTTGAACAAAAAAAAAATTGACTATACTGACACATGTTCGTCATGAATGCGCCGAGTGCGACAATTTACGCACTCGTTTCACAATTTTATTATTTCGAACCAGTTTTTGAATTTGAAAATATTGTACAAAGCTTTTTCAGTATTGAAAGGCTGCATACGATGTAATTTTTCGATTTTAAAGAAAAAAAAAAAGATTATACTGACTCACGTTTCGTTATGAATAAGCAGAGTGCGAAAATTACGCACTCGTCACAATTTTACTATTTCCAACCAGTTTTTTGAATTTGAAATATTGTACAAAACTTTTTCAGTATTGAAAGGCTGAAATAAACGAATTTTTCGTCTTGAACAAAAAAAAAAATTTAACTGACAATGTTCGTCATGAATGCGCCGAGCGACAATTTACGCACTCGTTTCACAATTTTATTATTTCAAACCAGTTTTTTGAATTTGAAAATATTGTACAAAGCTTTTTCAGTATTGAAAGGCTGCAAACGACGTAATTTTTCGATTTTAGAGGAAAAAAAAAAGTGATTATACTGACTCACGTGTTTGTTATGAATAAGCAGAGTGCGAAAAATTACGCACTCGTTTCACAATTTTACTATTTCCAACCAGTTTTTGAATTTGAAAATATCATACAAAACTTTTTCTATGTTAAAAGTCTGCGATACACGACAAGATTTTTTTGGTCTTAAAGAAAATGTGATTACGTGCGACAATTTACACACTTGTTTCACAATTTTATGATTTCCAACCTCAAATTTGAAACAATTTTGAACAAAACATTTTCAGTATTAAAACTCCACCACACACTACAGGCTTCTTCAGTCTTAAACGATTTTTAAATGTGCGACAAACAGCGCACACCACAGACGCAATGAGAATCTTGAGAGATTTAAAATCTCAGATCACAAAGACTGTAGCAGGATTTGTCTGCAGACCACAGGATGCAAGGTTGTGAGCGGAATTTAGAGTAAAACTAGTCACTTTTAGATGATTAAGTGTTTAGGTCCAAGTCAAAACTGTGTTATTATTTGAAAATATGGTGCAAAACTTCAGATATGTGATTTTTAAAGCATAGAAGATAGGAGATAAAGTCCAGAGGAAGTAAAGTCACTATCAATAATCAGCAGTTTCACCTCGATCCGTGCGCTGTGTAAACAAACACACGTGAGGAACTACTCCCACCTTTTTACTTTTAAAGAACACTCCAAACTGGATGTTTTATGGACTGGGGTCATTATTTGCGGACGACAAATTCTATGGATAATGTGGACGAGATGCTGCACTTTAAAATTACAACTTTACGAGAGCTGAGTAATTAATATTTTTGCTATTTCCTGAGTTTATATCTTGGCTTTTTGTGTCCGTCACTCTGTTTTATTGGCGGTTTTCATGGTGTTGCTGATGTTTGGTGGTTACGATCTGACACTGACACCGTCTCAGAACTCGAGGAGAAACAAATCACAGTCTAAATCCGACAAATTTTCCTGTAGTGTGTCTCAGTTTTAAGTTAACAACAATTTAAAGTCTTAGTTTGAGGCGAGTGAAGAATTAGAAACAGGCTAAAAGTCGAAAAAATGAATATTTGGGACACCTTATAATTTGTTTTTCCGTCTTAAAAATCTTGTATGACAACAGGTAAACATTCTTCAGCCATGATTTCAGAGGAAAACTTGAAATACCACCAGATGACATCACGAGGTGGAGCAGTGTTTTCAACTCTGATGAAAAAACTGAATATTTAGGACTGTGATACTGTACGTTTTTGACGAGAAAACAACTTAAAGCGGCAAAATAAAGTGTAGAATTTGCATAATCTAGGACATTATTAGACTATTTGTAGTTTGAAAATTACAACATTTGGATATGTTTCTTGCATACATTCGGTCTTCAAAATTGTAAAAAAATGTGTAAAAATTGGGAAAAACATACACTAAGGATTCCATTTTGTGCATAGCTGCTTTTATAACATTTAATAAACTATTTTTACAGCCCATAACGATATATTTAATGAGTACGGACTGCGATTGGACCCATAATTTTGTTTAAGAAATCTGTAAAATTGGATTACAATTATGGGAATTTAAAAACATAAATAAAGAGTTAAAATTCTTAAAGGTCCTGTATTACACAAAATGGATTCATGTGAGTTTTATGAAATTAGAAATACAAGCAAAGTGAATGTTTTGTGTTGAGTTGCGTCCCAGTTTCTTCAGAAAAGGCCAGCACAGTGCATGGAGTAGTTCAAACTGACATCTCAATATTGATGCTTACAATTTTCCGACATTAACAGTTCATTTATCATAAAAATAAAAACAGAATCCAAAACAAACAAAAAAACATTTAAAACTCCAAAAATCCCCCCCCAGTCTTTTTCCTGGATGTTTAAAAATAAATCAGGACCCGACCAATACTTCCATAATGTGATCAAGTTCTGTTAAATCTATTTTGAAAGGCTGATTGGACGAAACTTGGGGGGCGGGGCCACTGTACGGCGACGCCAGCGACTTGATGAGGTCGTCCGCAGTGACCACGGGCGCCATTTTGGAAATCCCGCCCACCGCCGTTGCTATGGCCGTCGTCCCCGTGGATGACGCCGTCGTCGTCGTCGTCGCAGTCGTCGTGCAGGGGTCGAAATCGTACATGGACGTGTCGATGTCGGCGAAAAGGACGTCGTCTAAAGCTAAATCGGAAAGGAAACCCGACGGGGACGACGAGGGCGGGTCCGGCGAGATGCCACCGGACGGCAGCGTAGGTAAGGGGTCCAGTAACCGAAGTTCTGCCTGCAAGACGCCAGCCGGTTCCGGTTTCGCGCGATGTTCTCTGGCCAGCTGGGAGGTAGAAACGGTTAGCGCGTTACCATTTGCTGATATTGTCCGTGAAGTTGCGATGTCCAGCTCCATCGACGGGAACCTGGCGGGCCGCGGCGAAACGGGGGGAGTGGGCGGAGTCGCGATGCTAAACGTGGCGTTCTCCATGCTCTCCATGTTATCGTCCTCGAGCAGTGACGCCGGGGTCAGGCAGGCCTCCAGAGGGCAGTCCTGAGGCGGCGGCGGCGGCGAAGGCGAAGGCAGCGAAGGGGGCGGGCAGGGCGGCGACGCGGGCGACCCCATCGGGTGCGGCGACGGAGGCGGCGGGCCCATGAGCAAAGCGGACGGCTGCGGCTGGGCCAGGACCCCGAACGTGGGCGGGGCTTGCCGGTAGCCCTCGTCGAGCGGGTCGTCGGGCGGCGGGGACGGCGGCAGGAGCAGCGGTCTCAGGGTCCCGTCCTGCTTGAGTTCGTCCTGGATTCGCCGCAGCATGTTGTTGATGAGGACGCGGCGCTGGAGGCTGGGTTCGCCCGGACGCTGCGTGTAGAGCTTCATGAGGGAGATGTTGAAGATGGTCTGGCGCTGCAGCGTGTACGACACTTTGGACAGACCCTCCGGACACGACACGCCCACCTCCAGCGCTTTGCCTTCCACACCCGCTTCATCCTCGTCCAGCTTCCGTTTGTGGCCTTTACCAAACATAAATCTGAAACAAACAAGACACAAACGCCAAAGTCAGCATCAGAATACAAAATGTCATGCTTTATTTTTAATCCGTGTTTCATTTGTTCATTCGTTTTTCAATATAAAACCAAAAATATGAAAAGGAAAAAAAAAAAAACAGTTTTCTTCATTCTTCGTCTCCAAAACCAAAATGAAAAAAACATTCGTTTTTTCAGTTTTCGATTTTGTGTTTAAATGAAAAATGGAAAAAACAGATAACAGACGTTTCCCGTTTACGTGACTTCTGTGACTGTGATGCCGAACTTTTGCAGCACGTACGAACTGAACCAGGACTGATCCAGGTCCGGGACCAGACCGGGACCAGACCTGGACCAGAGCGGACTGTGACCAGGACCAGACCGGGACTGAGACCGGGACAGACCTGGACCAGACCGAGACTGAGATCAGGACTGAGCCCGGGACCAGACCAAGACTGAGACCGGGACCAGACCAAGACTGAGACTGGGACTGAGACCGAGACCAGGCCGGGACCAGACCGGAGGCTCAGAGCCCACAGCAGGGCCAGAGCTCGAAGCTGAGGCCCGGAGTCAAAGCTCGGAGTCAAAGCTCTGGTTCAGTCCGTATGCGGTGCAAAAGTCCAGCATCGCAGTCATGGACGTCATGTAAACCGGAAACGGCCTTTTTCCATTTTTCATTTAAACACAAAATCGAAAACTGAAAAAAATGAATCATTATCTCTTTTTTCATTTTGATTTTGGAGACAAATAATGAAGAAAATATTACATTTTTCATTTTCTAATTTTTTGTTTTATATTGAAAGACGAGTGAACGAATGATACACAGATTATTTTTGTAAAACCGCACAAGTAGATCCGGTAACAGTAAATCACAGCTCTATATCACTACGCTGTCAGCATCACCATAGCAACGGGTAAATAAAAGAACCACTGTTAGGGACGAGCTTCAGCAAAAACAGAAATAACTCAGGCCTTGAACATCCACAGACGGATAAAGAGTTTCAGATTTAAAGTGGATTATTTTCAGTAGGTAGAACACGCTGCTCCTTGATGTTTTACGCCTGGAACAAACAAACAAACAAACAAACCAACAGGACGAGACACAGACAGACGATTCTTGCATTAATAAATCAATGTTTTTAATAATTCAACTTTATAATGAATAATAATGCATCAGTTTTATACAGCGCTGTTTTGGACACTCAGAGACACTTTTCACATTATTCATTCACACCAGACTCAGTGGTGGTAAACTACTACTGTAGCCACAGCTGCCCTGGGGCAGACTGACGGAAGCCAGTCTGCACCATCGGCCTCTCTGACCACCACCAACACTCACACACTCACACACACACACACACACACACACACACACACACACACACACACACACACACACACACACACACACTCACACACACACACACACACTCACACACCCACCCACCACTTTCATACTCGGCAACGAGGGTGAAGTGCCTTGTCTAAGGACACAACAGTTTTTTTTGTTTTTTTTTTAAGACTGGCGCCTCCTGCGTCTCCCTTCCAAGTCCTGCTCAGGTCCACACCTGCTGAGCTTCTGAGGTCTGACGGGATCAGGCTTTGACACAGTGTTAAAGTCACTGATAAGATTTTGGTTTGTCTAACGCGACTATGAAGTTGTGGTTTATTTAATTCAGTGTTTCATCAGAGATGTGTGTAAAATCCCTCAGTCGTCCAGGCAGAATCCACATGTAGAATCCACGGCAAAGGAGAAATTCAATTTGTCAACTGGACAAACCTTCTTGAAGCAGCAGCTTGGATGAGCTGCAAAACGTTTTTGACCTAAATAAATGTTTGTCCAGTTGTTAACAAACTGAATCTCTCCTTTGCCATGTTTCATCAGAACAGAGGGTCATCTGGATTAAAGATGGACAGATCCAGCTTTTTCAGTTACAATACTGATATCGATACTGATACCAACTTTGACTTTAATTATCCTCACCATAAACAGATACGAATGTGTGGATGGAACATTGCACTTATTTACTTAAAACACAGTTCAGTTCAGTTATTATACAAGAGATCCAAAAGTGTTACGCAACTATTATTTATCCATCAAACACCGACGGAACGACTCCGTATGAATACAAGTTCAAACATTATGAGACGGTCTGGATCAAAATCTACTCGTAAAGAGGCTCTATTCACGTTTACGGAAGGAAGACGCTTGGAAACATGCGGATGACAACTTAAAACCGTGGATCGAGCAGCAGCGTCTTCACAACCTGCCGAGGCTTTTCCTTAAAATTCTGTTTTATTAAGTTTGACAAATTATAATACACAAACTAATAGGCAATTTATTAAAAAAGGAAGAATAAAATGACATGTAGATGAAGAAAACCGGCCCATTTTCTCAGTTTTCCCAGATTTTGTTACTATTTTACTTTTATTATAATACTATTATTACTATTTTTTTTGAGTTATTATCGCAAACAGAGCCCAAAGGAAGTCGTCATCCACAACATCTGCAGGTTTTGAAGTTAAAGGCCCAACCGGGATATCGCCAAAACCCATCCGATCATGGAGGCGATACCTGATCCAGCTCAGTTTTCAGTATCGGTGGAGATTTTTAACACCAGTATCGTATCGGCGCATCCCTAATTTGGACAACATCGGCTTTTCCTTGCACAGTTCAACTCGTTTCACTGTATAAAATTTTATTCATCATCTTATGAACACAATAAGGTGAAGTTGAAGCTTTTGTAACACTTTTATTTTGCATATTAGAGCGACCAGTGGTTTATTTAAGCGGTTTATGGGGGTATTTAAAACTAGTTTTATACAGTAATAAAATAATTATAACTTAATGTTTAACACTTGGTGAATACAGTTTGCATAATAGATCAAGTCTGCCTTGGACTTGTTTTATTTTCATTTGATTTTGACTTGTCTCTTGCTCGTTTTTGCTGCTTAGTGAGAATTTATGATTACAATTTATATTTTTTCTCTTTGTTATTATAATATATTGTGATTTGTGAGCTCCTGGGTCCAAGTTATTTCCCTTGTGGATCAATAAATAAATGTTTAAGTCCAAATCTAAGTAGAGTTCCGTGTTACTCTGCCGCCCTCTTCTGGTGAACAGTCGTCACTGCGTCACCTTCACGTTGACCCTTTTCCTTTTCCAAGCGCCAAACGACTTAAGACACACCACATTTATCTTTCCAGTTTGATGTCTCTCGCCGTAAATCAAGTCCCTGATCAAAGACGGTTTTATTTCTGTCAAGCTTGTTAATCCGGTAAAGGAAAAGCTGCACTGGACCATGTATCATTTCAACAGGACAAAAAAATGACACGCCAGATTACTGCGTGTTTGTGTAAGGTAAAACCCAAGAGCTATTCAAGGTCACATATGAAAGTTCCCATCACTTAATGCCAGGGTTGACTAAATAAATCAGTATCACCAAGAATAACAAAAGCCAGTGCTGTAAACATTAGAGTAAAGTATAGTAATCACATTCTCCCGTCGACATAAAGAGAGTTTTTATCGTCATCGTGGTTTCTGAATCGAGCATCGACTCCGTTTCTTAGTATTTTGTTTAGTTTAGTGTTTATTTGAAGGAACAATGAACAGCTTAGAACATTAAATTATATAAATATAGAGCTGCACGATTATGGAAAAAATCATTCACGATTATTTTTGGTCAATTCTGAAATCACGATCAGTTAAACGATTATTTTTTAGTTACACAATGCATTTATTCAGCATTTTTCTCTCTTGTTATTGATAATTTACACAAAACTTTCAAATTAAATTAATATAGGCTACAAATATTAACCTTAGAGCAGTTTTGTGATGTATAAAGCATAAAAATGAATAAAATAAACTTTGAACATGAAATAAGGCATAGAAAAAAAACACAAATGGATCCAAAATAAACTATATATTCAACTACAATCTCTATATTTAAAAAACAAAAAAAAAACTATACTTAAATATTTATAAATTTATACATTTATAAATTTAAATAATAAATAAATAAATTTAAATCATTTCAACTCGATTATTTGAGTTTGGAGACACAAATTGAAATCGTGATCAAAATTCAATTGCTCAATTTAATTGCACAGACTTAATAAATCGTAGAGTAATAAAAGAGTGGAACAATCTCCCCACTGAACTAAAAAAAAAAAAACTGTCACATTTTCAGTGGAGTTAAAAAAACGGCTGTGGAATAATCAAACCTGCAGCACCGAGAATAAATAACACCACATATCTACAGTCATGAGTGTAAAACTAGAATATTGTATTTATTTTTGTATATTATGGACTGATGTAACGGTGCTATGTAAAAATAGAAAACAGCTGGAAAGTCCCCAAGCTGGAAAGTCCCCCTGCATTGTGCCCTTTACGAACCTAAGTTAGTTCATCTATAGACTGTATATATATATATATAATATTATATATATATATATATATATATAATATAAAATAAAAAGACACATGCAAGTTACCAAATATCTCAACACATTTGTTCATACATACAAACAAAACACGCAAAAATTAACTGTAACTTCTGCTCAACCAACTCCATTTTATGGCAAAGCAACAAAGTCTGTAGTTTTCTAAGTTTCTCGTGTTGCGCTGCTTAATAATGTTCATGGCAGGTAAGGAAATAATGAATATTTCTTCCCAAATCCAGAGTTACAGATGCTGTAGGACATGGGGAACAAGAAAAAATAGTTTAAATATGATTTCATAGTAAACTTCTGTGAGCAAATGAGGATTATACTGATATTACAAACTGAAAAAATGTGAGCCGCTTTAGGAAGATGAGTAAAATATCATAAACAAGGCCCGGCATTTTGTCTGTTACATCCACATTTCATTTTATTTGGATTTAGAAGACATCAAGTCACAGTGTGTGACGCGGCGGCAAGAACGTCCCCCCCCCCTCTCGGACGCAGCAGGTCCTTGTGTCTCGCCCAAGAGAAGGCGGTGCCTGGAGGGAGGAGGGGGACGTTC